CACATCCGCTGCCTGAGACTGGTGAATTAACAAATAATATTTATTGCCAAATCGGCAATAGGTGTAATTATTATAAAAACCCAATAGACCTGACCATCGTCGTCAGTCGACTCCAGTGCCTTGTGTCATTCATCAGTCTCAGTACTCGGTTGTCGCTGTCCGGCTTACTGTTTAAAGTAAAGTCTTTGTTTATTCCTTTTCTAACCTATATACTCTTTTCCTCGACATTTCAGAGTACTTGTGTCTTGCACTTCGTCTGCACCTCGTACTTCATTATCCTCTCCTAATAACTAAAGTACTTGTGTCTTGCACTTCGTCTGCACCTTGTACTTTGTTATACTCCTTATCTGGTACGCCCAGTATTTGTGTCTTGCACTTCGTCTGCACCTCATACTTTGGGCTCCTTTTGCGTACACCTGGTATTTGTGTCTTGCACTTCGTCTGCACCTCATACCTAGGTATTACTCTTATTCTCCCTACCTATAACACCAGCCTTTCGACACCCACAGCTAACCCGGAGTGTCAGCCGAGCACGGTGACTGCTGTACGACAACACGCACGTGAATACCTAGACAGCAGGCACCACCTCCTCATATTCATCTTCGTACACACATTCGCTCATTATCCAGCTTTTTGCCATTTCTCTTTACTGTGTTACGACAATTGATAATAACAATGCTTTGTACCTGCTAATATCGATGTCATTAAAAACCAATTAGCTACCTGTAATTTTAATCCCTAGTGTATTATACATGTATATTAACTCAAAAATTTGAAACTTTAAATGTTTATATTTAATAAACGAATAAAGTTATATTAAAAATTCAAATGACATTTGTTATTAAATTAAAAACTCAAACATTTTATTAAATTCAAAATATGTGTTACCATTTAAAAAAACAAAGTTGACANCTATTAAATTAAAAACTCAAAAATGTTATTAAATTCAAAATATGTGTTCTCATTTAAAAAAACTCAAGTTTTTATTTTTTAACCTTGGAGGGATGAAAAATATCATATTTTTACTACATATTATTATAGTGTTTTTAGAATCAAACAATATTTTCCTTACCAAAAATTTTAAATTTTCAATAGTTACTGAGTAAACGAGTTTCTTATCCTTAATGAATCACCATGTATATAAAAAGACTTTTTAAGAAACATAAGTAAAAAAATGGAGCTTTTATTTCGTTTGTTGCGTTTATCCACGCTATAATATATACTTTAGAAAGAAAGACACATATATCTCAATAACTGTTTAACTCCTATTTTTTTATTTTTAATTAGTCTTAAAGTAATTCAACTAGCATGATGAAAAGCTTCAGAGGTTCTAAATGATATGCCACAAGGAGGAAATCCACCTATAAATAGATATTTTTTTTTAATTGTGGCTTGCTTAAATTTTTTTTTGCAAACTCTATTGACCCTTTAGATTTCTCAATAAAAATTTTATCGGATATTATATTATATTTATTCCAATTTAAAATTTTTATTTTGTTAATATTATCCCAAAATAATTGAAATTTTTTTAAAATAGCAACAATGGAGAAAATATGGTTTTAGAACTTCATTTTCAAAAAAAAAATTTTACAAATAATTAAATAATATGATATATACATATAAAGAATATATTTATTTAACTATTGTTCTAAAAATATACAAGCACCATTGAGATGTCCAGAATTGATGCTGTTGTGCCATAACTTAAGACCTGAACTTTATCCACAAGACTCCATTGTACTATAAACCGCTAAAGTATTCGTTTTTCCATTTAATATATTATAGAACTAAAACTGATTTAACGAAATGTAATTCGCGGTACACAAGAAATACTATAAGTAATTAGTTTTAAACATAAAAATTTATAATAAAATATAAATATAAAATAATTTTATCGAAATATGTTTTTTTTTTTCAAAAAATACCACATATTGTGATTTATTTTATACAAATGTTTTTTATTTATGTTATTGCTAAAAAAATTAAGTATATAAAATACTAAATAAATATTAAGTTATATAAATATTCAGTAAATGTGTAATTGCAGTAGTTGAAATCACTGTAATTACAGAAGTCAATATCATTTACTAATTATATTAACTGTTGCGCTAAATTGTTTGACGACCGGACGTAATAGATCTTTTAGTAAAAATGAAAGTTCTCGTCGTTTCGATGGTTGCGATCATTTTTCAAATAAGCAATTACACTGGTGCCGACGAAACGACAGATAAACTTTTTCAAACTTGGAAAGGATATTCGTTATGGAAATACGTGCAGGCTGACAATTATCACGGGTTATCAGAACTAATGCGTCATCGTACGAGAAGGTATTGTTTATTGTTGGCCGTTTACGCCTACGACGCATTAAACGCGAACGTCGAGGTGCCTGAAGATCGGGTTCGAAAATCGTTGAAAATGTTAAATGCCGCTCTTATTATATTTAATCGCAGTACTATTTATTCATTCAGAGGTTCTAATAACGATATAGAAATCGACATAACTTCAACGACATTAAATCGTATAAGATCAATTTGCATTCCTTGTTTGTCGGGCATCGATGAATTGGATAAATTTAATATTGAGTACGGGTGTCCACCGACACATTTTATACCGACAAAGGTCGTGTTGGAGACTTATCTCAAGAACTTCCCCGCGCCCCACGCAAAGGATGCGGCATCATACGGTGAATCGTACAATTTCCACGTCATGCCAACAGAAAAACAACAAGTTTTAGCTAAACTGGAAAAAATCTGTGATTTGATCGAAACCGAATACAGTTCCTTTGTGGTAATGTCCCATTGGACAAGGGAACAATTACTGTCTGATAATTAAGTATGAAATAATAAAAGAATAATTCATAGGTAACATGTATTTCGTACGTGTTTATCGCGGATTACACGACCGATTAATTTTTGTAAATTTAATAACAATCAATATCATGTAAAAATATTAAACATTTGTAATGTCTATTTAGAAATTATAAACGTATGACGATTAATTGTGTATTAGTTATTTTTTTAGCTGAAATTTTTTTTATAATACCGAATATTACAATACGCAATAATACGTTTAACGTTATTGGTATGTTAAACGTATAACGTATTATAATAATATAAATTTATTTATTTATTTATTTAATATATCGGTATAATTTGGTTTTAATACGTAAAAATTGTTTTTTATAGTCCAAGGAGCGTAGTCTAGTAGCGAATCTCGGCGTAATCGTTGTAATAATAATAACAACAAAAACTCTTTCCGAGTCGCTTGCGGTTGGGTTTAAATTTAATGACGGCTTATTGTCAATTTTTCCCTTTGTCGGTTATTCATTACGCGATACGTGTGAGTATCCCACACAGAAAACTTATTCGCTCGCCTCTTGACTTTCTGTTCTCGTCCGACGATCGATTCTAACGTATTGTCGTTACAATCCCGACCCGACCAAACCCAACTCGACGCTTTATAAATCATCTCGACGGTTTATCGCGCAACGGATCGCGTGTGAAATCTATGACCGGTTTTTATACGCGAAAGACTCTAAACGCTCTACGTTCTCGTTACAAATACAATCTACCCTAGTATNCTTACAAATACAATCTACCCTTATATATTACAACGGTAGATCGTAATGTATTATAATAATTATATTACTAATATTTTTATTGGACAAAATTTAAATTTGTTCATAAAATTAGACCGTATTAATACAAGTATATTTTATATACTCAAAGTATATTTTATATACTCAAAGTATATTTTGGGCTTGGACGCGAACCNTAAAGTATATTTTTAGCTTGGACGCGAACCCGTCGAGGTATTAATTTTACTGTGATGTGTTATATTCGTGTCTGTGAACGTTCGATCTCAGCTCTCGCCGGACCGATTTCGATCTAAAGAACGCGAATCGCATCCGGTCGAAGACTGATTACCCTCGAAAACTGAAAAAAAATTCCCTCGTTGCCCGTATTTATACTCGAATCGGTGTCGATCTCTCGACACTGGTATTTTTTAATGCTAACTCGACCAAAACGAGATTCAAAAATATATAATTAAGTCCAAAGCGATTGAACAAACGACCGAGTGCCGCCTGGGAGAATCTGTGATTTCAATTTTATTCCGTACTATATATATTTTAATGTAATTATAAGGATAATTATTTTCTATTAAAACGTTTAAAAGTATATTAATAGAAAGACGCGCCTTAAAAAATTGTTAATTAAAATGTGAATTAAACGATTCACAATTATCGATGCACTTGGTTTCGATTATTCGAATACCCGGGCGGCACATTAGAACGGGGGAGTATCAACAGAGGTGGTAATGTTTTTGACTCGGCCGGTTCGAACGAGACTCGAAATTTCAAAATTATTTTCTCGTCGCGATTTTCTTTAGCCGTACGGTGGCCGCGTATTGCAAAAAAACAAAATTTGTTCTGTTTAAACACGCACTCGATATAACACGCTCGAGCCTCGTGCTACAATATAAATATAATATTTTTTGTAAATTTTTCACCGTGTTAGTGTGATTTAAAAAACGATTGCGTCACAAAAAGTTGNAGAACGGGGTGAGTATCAACAGAGGTGGTAATGTTTTTGACTCGGCCGGTTCGAACGAGACTCGAAATTTCAAAATTATTTTCTCGTCGCGATTTTCTTTAGCCGTACGGTGGCCGCGTATTGCAAAAAAACAAAATTCGTTCTGTTTAAACACGCACTCGATATAACACGCTCGAGCCTCGCGCTACGATATAAATATAATATTTTTTGTAAATTTTTCACCGCGTTACACTAACACGGTGAAAAATTACACTGATTTAAAAAAACGATCGCGTCACAAAAAGTCGGCAGACATTACCGCGATATTATTTTTTTAGCATTTATATCGCGGCGGTAACATCCAAATAGACATCGAAATCGTCGTCGGATAGTATTCAGATATCATCGTTGCAGTTATTTCGTCGGACGACCTTTGAACATCCTCCGAGCGACCGATCGTTTANCAGTTATTTCGTCGGACGACCTTTGAACATCCTCCGAGCGACCGATCGTTTAATTAACATCGTTTTTATTAAACGTCATATAAACATCGGTTATCGCCGCTTATTTAACCGCAATGAAATCGCCATTGTCGTCGTGTTCGATCGTCGTCGTAACGCTTCTGGCGGTCTGTCGTTTTTCCGACGCGTTCGATTGGGAAAATCATCCCAACGGCAAACTCGTCAAGTCCGAGGTGATATTCAGCCTACCCCGCAATGTCGTGTTCGGCACGATTAACGGCGGCGACGTTGACACGACGCAATACATGTGGGCCGCGAGAATCAGGTCGTACAAACTGCTGTACGTGTTGGCAAAGTACTGTGAGTACACGATCTCGATAGATTCGCTGAGCTATATCAGGAGCATGATGAGCAGGCCGACGGAGAAAGTCATCGATTTCATGAAACGTCACAAAACGGACATTTCCGATCTGGAGAAACTGTTGAAGGACACTGTTTCGAATCCAAATTACGCGCACGCGGGCAAGGATCTGACCCTCGAGTTGCTGTGGACATTCCAAGACCGAATTTATCAACTGTTGTTTAACGACGTGAAAATATTCAATATTTTAGTGTTGGGGGTGTCGCCAGACGAACAATTCGACGGCAGACTCGCCGAGGCGATTAAAGCGTGGACGTTTTTCGACAACTTGGCGGACGACGAGGAATCGAAAAAATACATCCCTGCGAATTTCGAACGGAACTGTATGTTTCCGACGCAATATTTTTACAACAAAATCTATGGCGAGCACAAGAAGCCGAAAAAAAATAAAGAAGAAGAAGAAGAAGAAGAAGACTAAAAATAAATTATAACATTGATATGAAAAATTAATTTTATTAAAACTACATGTAATTAATTTTATTAAAACTACATGTAATTAATTTTATTAAAACTACATGTAATTAATTTTATTAAAACTACATGTAATTAATTTTATTAAAACTACATGTAATTAATTTTATTAAAACTACATGTAATTAATTTTATTAAAACTACATGTAATTAATTTTATTAAAACTACATGTAATTAATTTTTACTCGCCTTATATTAAAATATGAAAAATTATTTAAACGAAACTAAAAACGTTGAAAATTTTACTATTAAAATCGACGAGTAAACCCGTGACTTGACACACGGGTTTGACGATTTTTCATAATTTAGAAATTCACGGTAATTAGAAATTCACGGTAATTGGAAATTCACGGTAATTGGAAATTCACGGTAATTAGAAATTCACGGTAATTAGAAATTAAATCAATACCGCCGATGCACATCGGTATTTATGTCATGTTAAAATCGTGCGATTTTAACATAACATAAAATTGTATTCTCGAGTTATTCGTCGTTATATTTAGTATAAATTAATTGTTGGTTAAAAAATTTATTATAATAAAAAAGTATTCGANTTGGTTAAAAAATTTATTATAATAAAAAAGTATTCGATGACGATCTACCGTCTCGTTTATAAAAATATTTTCAACAACACGTAAATTTTATTTTATTTTACCCGAGTTTTATACGATTTCGCAACTATATTTATTTACGATATTTCACGAATATTTTATGTTTAAATTTTTTATCGTATCGAATCACGAGCTAATTATCTCGTTGTATAATTCTACAGTATTATACCACGAGATAATTAGCTCGAAACGCTTCGAAACCGG